CCCCCGCCCCACACACACACAATTAAGTTTTAAAAGAATACAGTTCGGGCCTGGAGAGATGGCTCAGGGGTTAAGAGTGCTTTCTGCTCTTCCAGGGGACCCAAGCTGGTTCCCAGCATCCACTCTGGCAGCTCACAGCCTCCGGTAATTCAATTCTAGGGTCCAGTGTCTTTTCTGGTCTCGGCAGGTACCTGTACACACATGGCATACACACTCACATGACACACAAATCTTGAAGCTTACACACACGTGCAGATAATTAAGCCGGCAAGATGGCGCAGCAGGTAACGGTGCTTGCTGCTAAGCCCAGTGACCTGAATTTGATCTCTGGGACACACACTGAAAGGAACAGACCCCTGAAATTGTCCTTTGACCCCTGTGCATGCGCAGAGACATACAAAAATTCGATTTTTAGCCTGGTGGTGGCAGTGCACGCCTTTAATCCCAGCACTCGGGAAACAGAGGCAGGTGGATCTATGTGAGTTCGAGGCCAGCCTGGGCTACAGAGCGAGTTCCAGGACAGCCAGAGCTACACAGAGAAACCCTATCTTGAAAAACAAAAAAAAAAAAAAAAAAAAAAGTTAAAAAAAATTTTTTTTGAAAGCAGATTTATAAAGTTACAGTGTTTTGGTGAGAAGCCCCTTGTCAAGATTCATCAGCTGCTGAACTGCCTTATTTATCAAACCCTCGGGCTTTAAAGATGAACGGGCTCCCTGGCTCTCTCATCGCCCATCATGAGGTGCCTCTTGCATCAGGAGCTACAGGATCTCTTTCCCCAACTCACCAGATCACAATTGTCTTTGCCTGTAGCCTTCCAAAGGCCTTTCTTGACATTGAGTGGGGGACGGGCCTGGCAGATTCCTCAGTAAGAGTGCTTGGTCTACAAGCTTGAGTGTAGCAGGAATCTTAGAAGGTCTTATTAATAAAATCAAACCTGAGGCCAGTATTGGGGTGAATGCTGGAAGATCAGAGAAGCAGAACAAGCCACAGCTTCCTCACCTCGCCAGTTCCTCAGCTGATCCTGTTTCCTCAGACTGTGTCCTCTGTGTCCACTCTGTGTCCTCATCCAGAATGAATCTCTAGCTGAACTGCTGCTCAAAAGCCTGAAAGCTTATCCAGTCAAAAGCTTCTAGTTTCTGATCCTCACGCCTTATATATCTTTCTGCTTTCTGCCATCACTTCCTGGGATTAAAGGTGTGAGTCACCATGCCTGGCTGTTTCCAATGTGGCCTTGAACTCACAGAGATCCAGAGGGATTTCTGCCTCTGGAATGCTAGGATTAAAGGTGTATGTGCCACCATTTTCTAGTCTCTGTATCTAGTGGCTGTTCTATGTCCTGACCCCAGGTAAGTTTATTAGGGTGCACAATATTTTGGGGAACACAATACCACTACACTTGAGGACCTGAGTTCAAGACCTTAGCACCCACATAAAAAGCTGCACATGACTGCCTGTGATGGACCCCAGCATTAGGGAACAGAAAACTTGCCGGATGCTCAGCTTGCCCAACCAAAAACCAGCAAGCTTCCGGTTCAGTGGGAGACCCTCTCAAGGCAATACAGTAGGGACGATAGAGATCTGACCTCTTGCATTGGCCCTGCATACATGTGTATGAGGTGTGCACTTGCACACCCACATGCATGCACCGCATGCGAGCATCAGCCTAGGTTCCTGTCTGCAAGGCCCTGTGTACATTGCTTTCCTGTTACCTCCTGCGTCTCGGCGTGCTTTCCGTGATGCCTGTCTACTTGCTGCACGTGCTGAGCTTGTTCTGGCTCCCAAGGCCCTTGCTTTGCTGACCCGAGTTGTCTCTCACAAGTAGCTCAGATGCGGTTCTTCCCGGGCCTCAGGCTGTATGGAGAACACTCACATTTATTTTCCCGTATCTGTGGGGTGAGTTGAGTAAGTGCCTGTTCATGGCTAGTTCTGGGGCCCAGCACAGTAAGTACCCTGGGTTCAAGTAGCAATTGGAAAAGCACTGTCTCTTAATGAAGTCATGGAGCCTGGAGCTTTCATGAGATAACCTGTTTTCCCTTTGCAGTGTTGATGGGGACCATTTTCAGCATCCTGCTGGTGACCGTCATCCTTATGGCATTTTGTGTCTACAAGCCCATCCGTCGTCGGTGATGGCTGCACGGGATCACCCTGTTTCGAGTTTCTGGGATGGAAACATGAGCCGCTGGAGATGGTGGAATCAGCTTCTTGGAAGTGACTGTTGATCTGATGGGTGGTAAACGTGACGGGCTTTGGGAAGGCACCCAGCAGTAATCGTTACCCTAACATCAGTTATTGGTGGCTGAGTCAATGTCTCAGTGTTTCTTTTTGTTTGGCTGTACCAGTTAAAAGTGAAGCCGGAAGCCCCAAGGTTCCCTGTAAAGATGTGTCCATTGCAGTGTCCACTGGAAGAACCGCACTGGAGAAGAGGATGCATCACTAATGCTTGAAATAGTAAGGAGGCTTAACATGTAGACATCCCCTGCTTTCAACCATTCTGTCACTATGTGTTGCTCACACATGGGGGCCAGGAAGATGGCTCAGCAGGTAGAGGGGCTTGCCACCAAGCCTGATGACCTGAGTTTGATTCCCAGCACTCATCTGGTGGAAGGAGAGAACCGACTCCCGTGGGTTGTTCTCTGACCCCCGCAGATGAATAAATATAAAAACAAAGCCCACGTTTTTGCTCTACTGAGCTGCCCTAGAATACCCTGGGTGCAAAGCCAGCGTTCGCTGTGGGCCACCTAGGCCAGCGCTCCTGCATCGGCACTGTACTTGAATGCCCACAGTTCTGCCAGAATTGTATCCTCGGTCTGTAACCCCAAGCCCCCTTGGCCTGGAAGGCTCTGGGTTGGACTGGAAATGCTCCTGTCTACCAGAAGAACAACTCCACCTGACCCAAACATACTGATGTCCCTCTCACCCGCGGCTCAGGCCTGTGGTAGCTTCTCAGATGGGAACGTGAGACTTCGCTCCCCGTCTTCTCCCGGCTGTCGAGGGGCCGGCCAGCCATTGTCCGCTGTGCAGGCTGCTGTGTTTACAAGGCTGCCAGCTTTCCAAGTGCTGCTACTGAACTAGATTTCCCTGCTGATATTTTCATCGTGATAGTGATGATTAGTATTTATTTGAAAGGTGCTAGATTTAATTTTGTTATGGAATTGTTGTAATGCTTAGTCTTGTGTTCCCTGCAAGCACAGCACTGGTCTTTTTTGTCTTATAATCTAATAACCTGTACTTGATGTGAATTAACTGATGAGGAGCACTGTAACTGTTGGGGTCTTGTCGGTAACCCTGTAACACTGAGCCATTAAAATGTCAAGGTTAAAGAGAAATCCTGTCTGCTGTTTTATTCATCATTATGTTCCCAAGTGTTTAGAATGTGGGGTGGGGCTGTACAGGTGGCTCAGTGGTTAGGAGCACTGGTTGCTTTTGTACAGAATCAAGGTTTGGTTCCCAGAACCCAGGTGGTGGCTGACGACCACCTGGAACTCCAGTTCCAGGGAATCCAACGCTTTCTGCTGACCTCTGGGGGACACCAAGCATATGTGTAGTGAACAGACATCACCAAGGCAAACCACTCAGTCTGTGTAAAAACTTCAGTGCAGGTGTGTTTGGTGTGTTTGAATCTGGTCTCATTTGTTTAAGGAAGGACCTGTGCAGCAGACTCTAAACTGGTATAAACTGGTATGTGACGTGAGGCTGAACCAGAATCACTCTGGGGCTGGGAGAGCAGGCCTGCATTCTTGTTCAAGGCCAACTGTAAGCAGCTTACCCTCCCCAGAGCCTCGGATTCCCTCTAAGCAGTACACCGGCACCCTGAAGCCAGGTGATGTTAAATACTGAAATGTGGGAGACATGGTCACAGCCAGGCCGCTCTCCCCAGAAGTTCCAGGCTATTGCCCTGCTGGATGAGGAATATGTGGACACTGAGACTGAGCATCCCAGGAGGACAAGTCCAGCCCACTCCATGAACAACCTCTTGATATGCCGCTATACTACTTGTTGCCATTTTTAAGATTTTTAAGGGAAAGAGTAAAACCTTGCCAAGTAATCCTTGTTATTGTTTTCACTTGGTGGTAACCAGGAGCTGTGGATGAGTCCCAGGGCAGAGTTAGACCCTCAGAGACACCTGGTTAGAGACAGAAATTGTGGGGCTGGAGAGAGGGTTCAGCAATTGAGAGCATGTATTGCGCTTCCAGAGGACCCGGGTTGACCCCCAGCATCTACATCAGGCGGCTCACAACCAGCTCCACTACAGCTCCAGGGAGCGCTGGCTTCCGAGGGGGCCAGCACACCTACCCTCCTCAGACACGTGATTAAGCGTTTCTTAAGAACAATCAGACATTGCCAGGCCTGGTGGTGCACACCTTTGATCCCAGCACTCACAAGTCAGTTTCTAGCTGACTTCAGTCTCAAACCCACACCTCTGCTAGACTCGGGGCTAGGCAGCACTCTGACTCCATCACTTACTGCCCCATGGTCACTTAAGACTTCCGCAGTCCAGTTCATCTCCCTTGATGTCCTGATGGTCAGGAGGAGCCTGAGGCCAGGCTGCTGTCTTCCTGTGCCCATCACCACCAAAGCCAACTTTCTCTTCACACTTAACTTGGTAAAGCACAAGGCAGGAACAGACTCTCAGAAACCTGTATTCATGCCAGCAACGCTTCCAGGTGGAACGGACTGGGGCGTGAGCCTTGGTGAACTGCTCGGTGTTAAGTATGCATAGGCTGCCGTGCCCCCCCCCCCCCCAAAGGGGCTGTTCTTCATGACGCCCCCAAGCACAGCTGCTCTCCCCATCTTCCTAGGGCAGCAAAGCCCCTTCCAGAACCCTAACACCTTTATCTAGCCACTGCCTTTTTAAGACCCTGGTTTTCACTTGAATGCCTTACAAGTAGCCCCCCGCCCCCAGCACCCTGGCTTCAAGGAGCGAGTCCACTTCAGCAGTGATGATGTTGACCCACTTTTCCTTCTTCCTGAAGACACCACACTTCAGGAGGTGCACGAAATGGATCCAAACAGCCCAACAATGGATGCTTCTTCATCTCCATCTGGCACAAGTTGTGAGACAATGTTGACTGTGCCCTGAGCAGGAAGGCTGTGTGTGTGTGTGTGTGTGTGTGTGTGTGTGTGTGTGTGTGTGCGCGCGCGCGCTACTTTGTAAAGGACAGGCACTGTGACGGGGAGTGCGTGTCCGGTGAACCTCCAGTGACAAGAGGATGCTCCGAGGAAGAGACAGGACTCCGGCCGGCCGGCCCTCAGGACTGTGAGCACCCTCTATGGAAGCATATTTATTGGCGTTTTAAGAGAGAACACATGGGGAAAGCTGCAACACGTTGATGCAATGCTCAGTCCTTTTTTAAGTGACTTCCTGGGGACACAGTCACAGACTTCAGGAATGCAAACAGAGGAGTCACCCGGGAGTCACCTTGGTGGGTGACACAGCCCGAGGACTGCCACTCCCACGGTACCTTTGCCCCCAACAAACGCCAAGGACACAGACCGCCAAGCTGTACAAATGTGATGCCCATACTGGCCTATGTACAGGGAGGGAAGTCTGGTTAGACCAGGACAAAAGGCAGATGGCTATGAGGAATTAAAATCACAATTCTTTTTGTCTAAGAACATTTTACTGGCAACACTGACTGTATCAAACAGACATTCTTGGGACTGGTGGATTCCCTTCCTATCCCAAAAGAAGTGTAACAGGAAACAGATGCAAAACAGAGGCAGGTGCTGTTTACCAGTGGTCAGCGCAGCCTGTGGGGGGGACGCCTGCACCGGGTGAGAGGTGCAGGGTGCCCTTGGCTGTATCCCCCAGGGGTCGGTCTGTTATGCAGTAGGTATTTACAGGAGGGTTAGACAAAATAGTTAACTACTAAAGGTATCCAAAAAAGGCCTGAGAAAATCTGGTTAAAATGCATAACCTTGTATTGCTACTGATGGGAGTAGTCATTTTTATATCTTTTAAAAATAATAAAAAGATTCTGTTAAAAAATATATTTATCCAGAAAGATGTTGATTCGAACTCTAAAAAGCAATGAGTTGTCCCTTTTCCCTTTTGGATGAAGAGCCTCTACTCCATGTTAGCGTCCCTCTGATTCAAGTCCATCCTGTCCGTCCTCCGAGGCAGCCAGGCCTGCAGCTGGCTCTGCCGGGCCAGCGCTTCGGTCAGCTTGCCTGCTTCGAGAACCAGCCGCCGACCGACTCCCCTAGCTGCTCCTCCAAGGACAGGATTAGCTGCCTTTGGTGTAGCCTGGAGGATGCTGCTCCCAGAGGAACTCTCCTCAGTGTGTGGAGTGAGGTGGCTTAAAACTATTAGTAATTTTTAAGGCTAAGGCAACATCCGTGGTCATTTGTCTATCTTAATTTGATGCAAATAGTTAGCCATAATCTAAAATAGATCCTGTGCATATCCTCTTAGCTGGGGTACAGAGCATGGACAAGGTAGAGATGAGGAGGTGTAATGGCGGCAACGTCCTATCCTAGGGACCCTACAGGAAGGGAAATGGAGAGGTCAGCATAACCCGTTTCTTTGGTGAGCACTCTACAAAGGCCGCTGCTCCCGTGTAGAAAGCACCCTGACCCTACAGGAACTGTTAGAACTCCTGATTAAGATGTCTCTGCTAACCCGCAGGGCTTGGCGTCTGTCTAAAGCTGGTAGTAGAGATGTGACCTGCAAGCCAGGGCAGCTAATGGAAGGTGACGATGCCCCTCCCCTCAGCCAGGAGATGGGGCCTGCCAGTGCTCCCCTTCTCCATTCTGGGGAGTCCCTGGGCCTGCTCCTTTGCATAAGGAAGGGGCAGCTGCTGTCTGCAGGAGTGCAGGCCCTCTGCCGTCGGGTCTCAGCTGACGGAGCACTCCCGCGTAGCCCCTGGACAGAAATGTCTATTTCTCGGTGAGTGACAGCTGCAAGACTTGCTGGAGTTGGGCCTCTTCCTCCTGCAGCCTGAGCTCCTGTTCGGCCAGCTCCTTGGCAGACAGCTCCATGGCCAGCTGCAGGTCACTATCAAAGCGGCTCGACTCACCGAGGGCACCTGGGCACGGGCCTTCCATGGTGGTTAGGAGGCTCTCCTGGATGGCCCTAGGGTGGAACACAGGCCGGTCATTCCTGTCCGGGAGGCAGTGGCAGCAACCACCTTCTTACTGATTACTAAGAGCACCCTGTACCAAGCCCTCCTGGTGAGGAGGAGGTGCTGGGCCGACGTGACCCAGCATCACCCAGGACTAGGCTATGAAGGGAATCGGGCTGTCTGAAAGCAAAGGTGAGGTTCGTGACCCACACTGCTCACGTGCCTGGCTCACACAGGAAAAAGGAGGCACTGCTGCCGTCTCCCAGGTCTGTAGCTCCTCCCCAGCCAGCCCCACAATCAACACTGACAGAAGAGCAGGCCGGTCAGAAAACCCCTCCCCTGTGGGCCAGGCAGCGCACAGTGCCCTCCAGAAATGCACTCACTTCAGAGCTGGTTTAATGAGGAAGCACAGAAGAGGAACGGCAGAGCTGACTCTGTACCGGGCGCCTGTGCCCACCCGGGTCTGACAAAAGCCACATCCTGAGAGGTCCCATCCCTTACCTCTCATACTGGGCTTCATAGCTGTGGGTGGGGCTGATCCCTCCATTTGAAGCTGGTCCCGAAAGTTCCTGGAAAACCGAAGACGGGTATAAATACCTCACAGAAGGAATAGTTGCCAAAATGACCAGGAAATGAAGATAGTGAGGACAAAATGTGCAGTATTTATAACCTGTCACTGATGGTGACTGTCAGGTTGCATACTTTTCTACCGTATGGACCGGCATCAGGCGTCACCCTGGATTCAGGGCCACCACCACCTTCTCAGGCTTCACATGGTTCCAGCCTAGAACCACTAACCTGGGGCAACACTCAAACAGCCAAGGCGGGGCATGCTTTAGAGACAGACAGGAGGCATAGTCTGGTCTTTGTGGCCCTGGACTCGAGCTATTGTGAAGTCGAGGTCTCACCGCTATTGGGAGAGCACAGCGAAGCTTGCCTGGACGGGGAGAGGAAGGGCTGACAGTCCTGTCTAGGGGCTGGAATACAGGGAGCTTCCAAAGGCAGCAGGCCCAGCTGCCAAAAAAGTAAATAAAACCAACCCCATCCCACCCACCCACGCCCAAAAAAGAGGGCCGGAGAGATGATGGTTCAATGGTTAGAGCAATGGCTGCTCTTCCAGGACCCAGGTTTGGTTCCCAGCACCCACGTGGCAGCTCACAACCATCTATAACTCCAGTTCCAGGGGATCCAACACTCTTCTGGCCTTCTCAGGCACCAGACACAGACATACATGCTGGAAAAACACCCATGCACATTAAAAAATGAATGAAAAAGAAAAAAGCACAACAAATGACTTGGGAATGGGTCTATGATGGCAGTGGGGGAGTAAAGACGGGGTGGGACTAGAACTGCTCAGGCCCCAGAAGGCTTTGTGAGCAGTGACAGGCGCATGGACACTGCTCACAGCTCATAGGCTCCAGCAGAGCAGGAGCTGGTTCACCCAAGAATTCCCAGCATGCTCTGCAAATTCCTGTGAATGGACAATGGGGAGGAAAGAAGAAACCAGTAGCTGGACAGCACAGCCCAGGGCACAAGGCCACTGTGGACCACGGAGCCCTGCCGTAGGGAAAGGAAGGAAGGAACAAAGAAAGCAATGACACTCCGTTATCCTCAGCAGGCTGGGGGCTGACTGTGTGCCCAGCTGACCTCTGCTCAAGCTAGGCGCCCCCGAGGGTGGAAGAGCAAGCCTCCCGGAATAGCGCCAGAAGCCGCAGGAGGGAGGGACACCCCCCCCACCCCCACCCCATGTGCTCTTTTCTTAGTTCTGAGAACAGAAAGAGACTCAACTGTCAGAGTGAGCTCATTTACCACACCCTGACTGAGCAGCCCTTACAGTGATCGTCCTCTTGGGGAACCGGGGTGAAGGTCCACACCACTACCTTAACTGACGTAAACGTGACACTTCAGTACTAGAAGATTGTGAAGCACACCTTGAAAAATACCCAAGAGCTACCCGGGTGAACGGCTAAAGGAAGTCTGTCTGAAGACAGCTTATGAACGATGCCAGCTGGTGACGGCCAGAGGGAGCCGAGTCTCTTCGGTAGCGAGCTTTTGTGAAATGACCTGACAAGCACCGTCACCATGCCATGCCAACCTTGTTACTTAGAGCAAGTCTGAGCTAGAAACTTCCCTGCTGACAACGTACCTGGCTCCTGCTGGACTCCAACAGGCTCTGCTGGATGGCAAACTGCATTATTTCATAGTCCTCATCCTGGAGATGCACGTTTCTGCCATTGTCT